GAATTCTTTGCTTCTGAGTCCAGGCCCTACCACAGGCCAAATCCTTTCTATGAAAAGCTCAAGATGGAACATCAGCAGGTCATGTCAGACCTGCAGAATTTCGAGAATGAGAATTGGGAGGCCTCACAGAAGCTCAGTGAGCTGACCAAAGAGAAAGTCTTCCTTTGGTAAGTGCTTATCTTGCCAGGGATCCTATCCCAACAGTTGTACAATAGCCAACAACAATTTTCTTTGTCTCTGAACTGCAGGGTCTGTAGATCTACTTCTGGTTTTTCTGCTTTATAGCCAGCAGCATTAGCAAGCAGCCTTTGGACTTATGCCTCTTTACTCAGTTTTGCTAAGGTTTAAAGAGACTATTAGCTCTTCCAAGCACCATATTGTCATTCAGTAGCCTCCAGATCAGTGGTTATTAACCTTCCTAATGCTGGGATACTTTAATACATTGCTTTATTGTTTTGATGACCCCAAACCATAAAATTATTTTGTAGCATTGTCTTAAGTTTATTTTGCTACTGTTAATAATTTTAATGTAAATGTCTACATAGGACATCTAATATGTATCCCTTGTGAAAGGCTCCTTAGATCCCAAAGTGTTCACAACCCACATACGGAGAACCACTGGTTCAGAAGAGCAATTGGCATCACAAGAGGGTTGTCAGGCAGGAGCTGACTGCTATGGGATCTATGCACCCTCTGGGTCTCCTCCTTCCCCAAGTGTTCTTGCACATTACCTGCTGGTGTTTCCTCATGACAGTGGAATGATTAGGACAGGTGGAGTACTCCTCTAGTTTATGGAAGTGCATGAATTTCTGTTATTTGGGAGGGGTTCAGAAATAGTTTGATTCATGCAGGAAATAACTGTTCTCTGCTTTTTGCCTTGAGTGCCACTGTCATTGCTGTTGAAGGTTCTTGTTTACATCTTCCTGTGAACCTAGAATAGGGCTGGGTTGTTGAGGCATAGTGATGTGGGTGACCAGAGGTGGCTGACATGGTCTTACTATTTGGAGTGTGTTTCCAGTGATCTGCAGAGCCGGCTCCTGATGGAGCAGAGTCAGCTCAAAAAGAAATTGGATATGCTGAGGCAAGAGAAGGAGAACCTACTGGAGGATTGGGTCCTGCTGAAGCAACACTTGGGTGACTTGCAAGTGCTCAATAATGATCAAGAAGATAGCAGTGACCTCCAGAACCAGCAACAGGAGGTAGGGACAGGCAGCTGAGTCACAGTTGTGTCCAGCATCATTTACATATGTATCCTTGCCAAATCTACCCATCCAGACACCTGTGCTCTATCTCATCACTTTTCTCATCCATCCACCCACTTCATGACATAAAATTGTTCATTCTGTATCTGTGCATTAGTATTTCTGGGAAGTGAGTCTCCTCTGAGAATCTTTGTCATTGACATGTAATCCCTGATACTCCTCTTGAACCTGTAGTCAATGGGGAGAAACAGATCAATCACTCATCACACAGCTACATGTCATTATGATGGGAGGATTGCTGTACACAGACTTGAGTTTATGAGTAAAACATTCTCTATCCATCTCCACTTAGACTGAACAAGCAGTGTGCTCCCCTAGGCCATTTTAGTACCCAAAAATGGAAAGCTGAATTTTGGGAATTTCTAAAGGCTGGTGTGCTTATTCTAAAGATAACTGCTCCTCAATCACTTTGTTGTTTTCGTCTTACCTCTTTCTCTAATTCTCTCTCACTCTCTGGTGTGTGTGTGTGTGTGTGTGTGTGTGTGTAATGGAGGCATGTGGGAGTGCCATGCATATTGCATGTGGATGACAGCTAGAGGAGACGACTGGGTTTCTCTCTTTGTCAGTCTCTGTCTTATGAACTTGAAGCAGGCTTTCTCATGTGACCAGGAGATGGAAATTTCATGAGATTGACTGACCAGCAAGCTCTTGGGATTCTCTGTGTGTGCTTGCACTAGTGTGAGAATGTATTGTTTATACTATACTCAACCCTCCAATAAGGACACAATCTTGTCATGAACAGGACCAACAAAGAATGGAAGAGAGACTCCAGAGCTTGCTGAAGCAGAGGGAGCTGGTCACACAGCAGAAAAACCTGGCAATAAAGCTGCAGCATCATTTGACTGTTTCTCAGATGAGACCCAGGCAGAAGTTGGGGTATGGAGCCAATTGGGTCCCCTGTACCAGGGCTCTCTGTCCTTTGTGGGCTTTTGCTTATCAGCAAGACTCCCTTCTCCAAGCATGGGTAGACCAACTCAGAACTCAGAGAATTATGCTGGTCCCATCAACAAGAACTTCTGTCCAGCAAACATTATGTTTGATACTCCCTGGGTCTGTAGACTTGTGTCCCATCCCTCCCTTCTGATTTCTCTGGTATGTTCTCAGCAGGCTTTCCTTGAACACAGAGATCTGCCTGCTTATGCCTCCCAAGTGATGGGATTTAAAGGTGTGCCTCACAATATCTGACTGAAACTACATTTTTATACAGGATTAACACCACTAAAATGAGATTCACACCCTTGTAACTATTTGATGTAACAATGGCTGTCTTCATTGTTTGAGCATTTCCCATGTAAAGTGTACTGGGTATATAATAAGTTTAGTCATTGGCAGGATGAACCTAGGTAGATGTGTCTGTTGAGTATTTTTCCGAACCTTCACTGAGTGTTGTATAACAGACTCCTCTAGAGTACCAGATGTAGATTCCCAGATATAGGCCTAAGGATAACACAGCTCTTTTTGTTTATTGCCAGAGACCATGCAGTGACTATGTTCTCAGACACATGGTCAAGAAATACTACTTTAGCATGACAGGCTCCATCTTGTGTATTACCTGGGTGCAAGGTGCCTTCTGGGCAGGAGGCCTGATCTTTTTACATGACCTTATTCAGCTGTCTAGTTTTCAAAGTTGTATTAAGTCTATGTATAAAAATGAGGTGGTCTTTTTAAAATTATTTTTTATTCATTTTACATACCAACCACAGATCCCCCTTTCTTCCCTCCTCCCAATCCCCACTCACCTTCTTCCCTGACCCTTCATCCCCTCCTCCAGCAGGGTAAATTCTCCCATGGTAGGACAGTTAAGCCTGATACATTCTGTTGAGGCAAGACCAAGCCTCTCGCCACTTTATCAATCAAGAGCAAGGTGTCCGACAAGAGGTAATGGGATCCAGAAAGAGAGCTCATGCACCAGGAATGGATCCTGATCACACTGCCAGGGGCCCCTCAAACACAACCAGCTCCACAACTGTCCCCCATATGCAGTGGGTCACAACTGTCCCCCATATGCAGAGGGTCACAACTGTCCCCCATATGCAGAGGGTCACAACAGTTCCCCATATGCAGAGGATCACAACTGTCAGTCTAAATTTCCTGAGTTCATTTGGGCTTGGTTCAGTTGTTTCTGTAGATTTCCCCACCACGATCTTTACCACCCTTGCTCATGTAATCCCTCTAAAAACAACAAGAAGGAACACAGCTTGGAATTTTAAGGTTTTCTCTATCAAACCTGTGAGAGCATTGTATAACATGGAGAGGAAAATAAAATAAAATCAATTAAAATCAGGAATAAGGACAGGTGTATGTGATGGTGCATGTCTTTAATTCAAACTCTTTTGGAGCACAGGCAGGAAATCTCTGGACTCTTGTAGCCATCCTAGTATATGGATCAAGTCAGCCAGAGATGCATATTGTAACCCTGCCTAGAAAGAAATAAACAGAAATTGGA